TGGACCCTTCTTGTATTTTCTGTGAGGTGAATGTGTGTCCCTGCTGGGCTGACTGGTGGGAAGAGTGAGGAAGATGCATCCAGGTTTTTGCTGGTGATATAGACTCTGAACTTCTTGCCCTTTCAGGGCCTGTGTAATTGCAGGCATATCCAAAAGCTCCCCCTGGAAGTTTAAGTTTACATAGAATATACTGACCAGGGAGAAGCAGAAGTTGCAAGGGTATTTGAAAGGCTTAAATTTTCTACCTGAATCCCCACTGCAGCATCTAGCCCTAAATACCTCTTTTCCCAGGAACGCTGTTTTTTCGGTAACAGAGATTTCTGCTTTCCTGTCCTTTCTGATCCTGGTGATAAGGTACCACATAAGAAGTTTAAAAAGGATTATAATTTCTTTTTCAGGTATCCAGTGAATGTTCCAGATTCAGCATTTTTGTTGGCTTATACTTTTGGAAAAAAGATCATTAACGTGAAAGCCAGCCAAAACTAATACCTCTGCAAATGCCTTGGTGTTCAGGAAGAAGATTTCCCTAATTGTTAGGTCCCAATTGTTCTAAGTGAGCCAATAATCAGAATTTAATAAACAGCTAACTCATTCCTAGCAGAGACTAAATGTGGATCTAAACAAGGAAACTTAAAATGAAGTGTTGTCATGGTGATATACAGGAGACTAAGCAAGCAGTGCAAAGCTCCTCTTCCTAGGAGACCTGAGAGACTAGCTCAAATTTTTATCTGTCGTGGTTGATTTATCATTTCACTGAAACAGTTGTCGACATGCAAAGTGTGTAGAAGGATTGTAACAAGTACCTTTTGTTTTTCGAGGGAACAACAGATTTTGTTTCCAAATCACAATTTCAAATTCAGCCTTACAGAAGAGGAAAAAAAATTATTTGGAGGAGTGTTTGCTGCTTTTAGCTTTCTACTATTTGCAAGGGCAATTAAATATTGAGATTACTTCCTCTTAAGCATGTCATGATGAGGCCACATACTGTGGTACATTTGACATACTGATTTCTCCAAGAAACGAAGCAAGAAAAGTAGACCCTTGCAAAATTTATGCATGCACACTGTTAGATAAAAAAGCTGGTGGTCACAGAACAGAAAAGACTTATGTGTTATGTCCTGGAGCTGCTGCTTGTATGGAAGGGAAAATAAAGACTCACCATCAGCATGTAACAAAATATATGTCAGTTGATTAAGTATTGGTTTTAAAGTAATTTAAGCTTTAAAATTTATTTTCAGTGTTCCATACATTAATTTAATTATTAAAGACAAGCCATCAGATTTCAGTGTTTGTTGGATTAAGCTCTTGCTCTGGGTTCAAATGTCTCTGAATGAGGAGTATATGACTACTAGCTGGTAAATTGTTAAGGTTCAATTACTTAACGGGTTAATTTCTGATCTCAGTAAATTCATGAAAATATGGGCAATGCCAGGTGTCCTGGTTTCAGCTGGGATAGAGTTAGTTTTCTTCATAGTAGCTAGCACAGTGCTGTGTTTTGGATTTAGTACCAGAAGAATGTTGATAACACACTGATGTTTTCAGCTGTTGCCAAGTAGTGCTCAGACTACTCAAGGACTTTTTGAGCTTCTCCTGCTCGGCCAGGTGCATAACAAGCTGGGAGTACAGCACAGCTAGGACAGCTAACCCAAACTGACCAAAGAGCTATTCCATATCATAGAATGTCATGCTCGGGGGGAGTTGGTTGGTCGGTCGGTCGCGGCTCGGGGACTGCTCGCTGCTCGAGGACTGCTCGCGGCTTGGGGACTGCTTGCGGCTCGGGACGGGCTGGGCATCCGTCGGCGGGTGGTGAGCAATTGCATTGTGCATCATTCGTTTTGTATATTCTGTATATTCTGTTATCATTCTCATTATTACTATTATTATTATTTTCTCTTATTAAACTGTCTTTATCTCAGCCCTTGGCTCTAACCTTTTATTTTCTTTCCGATTCTCTCCCCCATCCCACTGAGGGAGGGGGGAGTGAGCGAGCGGCTGCATGGTGCTGAGTTGCTAGCCGGGTTAAACCATGACACCAGGCTAAGCAGAACATCTGATTATTTACATCTGCATATCTTAAGAAGCAATGACAAGAGTTCAGAAAAATTAGTTCTATTAAGTTAATAGGAGGTACACAAAAATATGTTTAAATAAATGAGTCACAGTATCTTGATTTATGGCTTGCTTTTAAACTTAGACAGACTTTGCATGCTACAAGACTAAAACTAGAGAAGACATCACTGCTTTGATATAAATTGGGACACACAAGTCAGCACCACAGTAAGAGCCTGGTTTGCTCACCTTTACAAACAGTCTATAAAAAGCACAGTAATGACAGCAAAGTACAGACACTGTTCCTGATTATTCTTTGCTCTCTTAAACCAGCAGGATGCTGTGTGAGGGTGGGGAGCATCAAGCCCAGGCATGTGGAGCACCCCCTGGGAGATAAAGTGAACAAAGTGGATCTGGGAACCTTGCTTTGCAAGAGATTCTCCACCTCTCTGTAATTATCTCCATGGGAGATGGCTGTGGCCATTAGGCAGGCTGGAATCATGGGATGTGAGTGGTGGTTAGAAACAGGAAGGTCCTTAGAAGTTTCTGTTATGATACTTTACTTCAGAAATGTTGGTGTTAAACAAATGTGTTAGAAGGAGAATGTCCACAGCCAGGCTATGCAGGAACTCCCCTGGCATGGGGTTTAGGTGGCATTTCTGGCAGAAGTGGAATACGCTTTTGTTGGCTTTTCTAATATTTGATTTTATTTCTTACAGAAAACTACTACAGTTGTATTACCTGTGGCTTCCTATAATTTTTTTTCTCTACTGAGCCCTTATTAGTTTTAAAGTTCATGAGTTATTAAATGCATCATTTATATGAAGCATAATTAGAAGGTGTTACTGTATTTTTCCCAGTGACAGCCATAGTTGACAACAACATTTGTGTTTTATTTTGAAAGTTGTACAAATTCCTGGGGAAAAATAATCATTGCCTGTTAATATCTCAGGAAGACAAAATTCATGCTTGCATCAGAAGGGAGCTCTACACACTGACCACCCCTATAATGTACCATTTCATGCAGAAAACCTGCATATTTACCCCTTTTATGTAGAAGAATACTGGCATGTCGGCGTCCATTTCCATTCTCAACGTAGCATGAGTAATTCCCCAGGTCTGCCTCTTCCACAGAGTCCAGAATCAATGAGATGGAAACCTCCTGTTCCCCAAGATGTTCCTTCAGAACCCTGAGACAAAAAGTTACCGTTGTTGCTATTTTGTTTATATCATAGGAGGGCATTAGATAATCATGACATAATAATGCTAATTACAATTCACAACTCTCTGGCTTCAAGTTTGGCTATGGTTTGATGAAATCTTAATTAAATTATATCACGCCCTTTTCTTCCTCACTTCTAATGAGGAGGTTTGGCTTTGTAAATGTTAATGAGAGCTTCAGTTAATTGTCTTCTTTAAGCAGGATGATGTGCATACTGATAACACATTATTGCACACTCTGTTGGAGACCCTGATCAGTAGTATGTGAAGTCTTGAAATGTTAGAAGAGAGAAAAATGAAAACGGTTATTTGGACGTTAGGGTCACACTAAGAGTCTGGGCCAAACACACTATTTGTGCACTTTCTGAGGCTTTTCACCATGTCACTCAGAAACAGTGTGTTCATGCCAGGGTCTGCAAAATTATTTCTTGAACGTACTACAAAATTTGACTGTGTATTATAAAGCAGTAGAAAGAACTGGCATACCAGATGCCGCTCATTCATACAGATGATAAATAAAAGACTTCCTGCGTAAGACTCTGCCTGTCTTCACATTGCTTTCTTTACCTCTTAGCAAACCCATCAGTGGTTTTAGAAACCCAGAAAACTAAATGACAAACTGTTCTAGGCTTGCACCTGACAAAAGAAATGGGAACCAGCTTTCCTGCTCCTCCCTCCACAAAACAAGAAAGTTGTTAGGAGGTTCTTGTCACCTTCTTATCAGCCTTCAGAATGCCAAGTCTGTGTCTGAAGGGCTTAGGAAAAGCTTTAGATGCAAAATACAGCTGATCTGATTGTCATGTGCCATTTAGTGTATTGGTCTTGAGCTTTATAGAATAAACTTGAAGCACCCTGTGGTGAAATATGCTTCCATTTTGCCTATATCTAGGATATGGAGATAATCTTGAATGTCTATGTGGCCTTCTTGATTTTGGTAAAGGAATTGTCTCTGTTACTTTGCTTATACTGAAGAAGTCCAAGGTTAAGCTAAAAATGAGTGTGACTTCATGTCTTCTGAGGAGATAGTAAACTCCTATGTAAGAAGAAAATAAACTTATTTTGCTCTATTATAGACAATCATTGTAGATAACACATCTGTGATTATTTAGCTTCCTTTGTAATGCACATATAGATTTGCCTTCATTTCTGCATTTATCCATGATATATTGACACAGTGATATACACACATACAGAATTATAAATGAAAAAGGAATGTCTTCAGCTCTAAGTAGATACTTCATATTAGATAAGAGTTGGTACTATGTAAGGCATGCAATTCACAATACAAACCCACTTTTTTCTTAATTTCCAAATGAGGCAGCACTTTTAGGAACAGTAAAAGTACATGACGCAAATTGCCAGATCCTCTCTAAAACAAGTATTTCAGCAGATACGAGCAGCCCACATAACAGGATACTTGGCTGTCACAGGCCAGATAACATCTCAGGAAACTCATTTTTTTTCCTTGAAGAAAAGAAATCAAAACATTCCAAAAGAGAAGCCAGACTTCAGTATTTATTTAAGGTTCCATGTTTTAAAAGACTTCTTCTGAGCTGTTTTCCTTGATGTATTTATTTTTATTTATTTCATCTTAGTAACTGTCTTAATGGTTCTTATTGTAGATTGCCACAGTTTGAAAAAGTTACTATGCAAATTCTAGTCAGCTGCACTATGGTGCTTGTCAGGCAGCCATTCTCCTTTTGCAGCTCTCTAACATCAGATCTGGCCGAGGTGTGTTTTTCTGCTCTTTTCTGGTGAAGTTGAAAAGGTAAAGAATGGATGTTGCAAAAATAGGGGTTCGACCCAAAGTACCCCTGAGTTAGTCTGTGATACCATTACATTAACTATCAAAAAAAGATATTGACTGAAAAAATAAAATGCTTTTTCTTTTACCTGATGTCACTTTCCCAGACTCGACTATCATCCAAATCTTCAATAAACTTCTCCCCTTTCATCCAGTAGATTAAAGGACTGACATCTCCACTATATCCAAAGAAAGCTCGGCAGGTGAGATTAGCAGAACCGCCTGTTACAAATAATGTAAGCAAATACTTTATTTCAATTTTTTTTAAAAAGTGTTATTTTTGAATCAGTTGCTTTTGTTGATTAAAAAAAAAATATCTGTAGAGACCCTCAATATCCAACTTCTGTTGAAAATGTCCACAAGTATCTACTTGTCTTGCAACTGTTGTTCGTTATATTTTCTGAAAATAAATACAGTAAAAATGAAATTAAAAGTTACATAAGAACAGGATTCAATTTTGTATTCTTTCACCGATTTTTCTATATTTGGTAAGGAAATCAAAGGTTATTTTTTCTCAAAAAGAGCTAACAACCAAAAATTTCCATGTTTTCTCTGAAAACAGATGAAGATTAGGTAAAATAGACATGCAAACACATCTGTACTGGTTCAGCTTTGCAATGGTGTCTGCCAAGAGGCCGGTAGATTCCTGTACGGTACCATTTCCAAGGGGCAGCCAGTAGAAAGATGTTTGCTCATTGCTAAGTTATCTTTGCTGGCAAGTATTAAACACTGAAACTGAAAAAAAGAAGACATGCGAACTCATTCTGTACATTGTGGGACATGTCTCACCGTATGGATGGGAATAACCTTTAGGTACATGCAGGAAGGAGCAGAAATTCCCTAGATATGCAGTGTTACTTATTTAAACATTATAATGAAAATTTAAAAATATAATATACCTTCACTTTGGCTTATTTTCACTGTGTAGCCTTACATTGTGTTAGTACCACTTGGTTTTGGGGTTTCAGCTAGAGCACATAGAGGGGTTGAAACAGTAGTTCACATGCATTCTGTGTGTGGGTAGATCAGAAAAAACTAGCCGTACTGTGGACAGCCACATAGTTAAAGATCTCCCATTCACTGCTGTAGAGTTGTTTGTCTCAACATGCACCAAACCCTCTAAAGCGCTATGTGCATTTCTTTAGTGGATAATTGCACAGTGATTTAAAAAAGTGTTGCAATTTAAGGAATGTTCCCACCCCCACGCACTCCCCAGGAGAGTATTTTCAGGGAATTTATATTCCTGCTGAGACCAAACTTTACACTTTCAATTTTTTATCTTAGGATTTTAAAGCTGACTGACCACAGCTCCTGGGAAAAAAAAAAAAAAGATGCATTGCTAGAACTACTTCATTCTGTACCAAGATGACATGAGGACTCCATCTGAGTTCAACGAATTTCCCTAAAAATATACTACTTTGGGTCAGGCCTAGTCCTTCACAAATATTAATATTTGAACATCTTATTTACTTTCTAGTATGGTGACAATGCAGGATGCTGTATAACAAGAAGATGAATTATTAAATACATGTCTTCTTTATCTGAAATTATTTGTGGTTTTCTGTAAAAGCACCTGAATCCTCTGCCTGGCTTGAACTCTCACATTAATGCCATAAAAGGTGCAGAATCAAATGTTTGCAGTCAAAATATGCAACACCAAGGCAAGTACCATCTATATTGCTTTCACAAGCTGTTTAGGAACTGAGTTGCTTTTAGTTATTACATGAAGTTTTGGTTGGTGCCTTGCCAGCAATGCCTGCTAAGGAGACAGAAGTAACCCAGAACTTGAAATGAGGATGGAGAGGAGTTTCTCATTCATAATCAAAAAGTATGAAATCAAATCTCTAATGAGACATTTTGATAATCTCTTCTCATTTAGAGCAAAGTTACTAAATGTAAGATGAATTTCTTCAGTGAGAGGGCAAAAACTCTCCTAAATACAACCACAGCTCTTGTTTCCATACCCTGGGAAGCGATGGTCAGGACACCTCCCTGGAAACCCACCTCCTCAATCTCTACAAAGCTCAAGAATTACTATTTGGAAGCGTTGGAGAGAAAGGTTTTTGCAGTCTTGAAGCCATTTGCAGGGAATGAGATGAGCATTGGGACACTACTTAATGTGGGTCAAGTACATGAAAACCTGTAATGGAACACGATAAACTTCCTGGTTGTGCCCAGGACATTTTAACAGATGCAAACCTGCTTTCTTACAGCAGCTGCATAGCACATATAAACTAACTTCTTTTGTTAGTTTGTTTTATATCATAATTATGATATATGAAGATGTGAAAATGAAAATACAAAAGCTTAAAGGATTATGAATAGCTTGCCATTGTCATCCAGTGTAGCACATGTTCAGGGCTGTGAAGTGCCTAGTAACCAAAGCATTGGTGGACTCTGGTCACTCTCAAAACAGGAGAAGGTCCCTGCACATCTAAAACAAAATCAGGCTCCTGTGATAATTGGATAACCCCTAAGATATTGTTAACCAGTCTTAGAGGAAAGATTCCTACCTAATGCATCACTGCCACTTCTTAGGCTTTTTCTGGAGCTTTCCCACCAAGTCAAGGCCCAATTGAAACTTTTTATCCTTTAAGAGCTGGCAAGATCACAGCTGGAGGGCCTACAGCTTCTGGCCAACTATCCATGATTCACAGAGATTAGGCACCACAGGTGCTGAACCACCAAAGCTCTCCAGGCTCCTGCAGCTAACAGGCACCCACTGAGAACTGATTTTTGCACCGTGCATGCCTCTAAGCCTTTTACAGGTGAATATTAACATGCATAGATTTGCTTTTTAAAAATAAACATATTTTGCTAAGTGCAAAAACTGTTAGAAATTAAGAGTTTGTAAGATTAAGGCTTTTTTCCCCATTAAATTCTTAAAGGAATTTGCCCCTTAAATAAAATATGTAAACATATTGTTAAACACAGAATCCAAAGTTTCCATTCAACATGAAATATTTACACCTGAGAAATAAATTAGGAAGGATGTAATGCCTTTTAGTAGTACTGTGTCAATTACAGTCACTGAGCAAAGGCCATTAGCGTGCTGGGTGTTCAGCTATAAATTACCTATACCGTTTACCTTGACCAATCTTCACAATAAGCCAGTGGGAAGTTCATTAGCAGGTCATCAAGAAAGATCCAGTGACCAGCTAATGACCAACTGTGACCATTAATGAGGAGGTTTGTTACTCCAAAGCTCACAGCTCTTTGCAGAGGGCAGTGGAGCTCACTTGGTGCAGCAGAGATGTTCCCAGCTGCAGGCACATATAAATAGTGGGCAAAAGCTGGCTGAAGGGCAATATTATGAGTGGACAGAGTATTTCTGGAGCACACTCTGCTCCAGAGCTGCCCTCATGTGAGCGTATGCTGTAGGATAGGCTGCATTTTTTCCCTAGAAGTGTACCTTTGAAGTGAGAGGTCAGAGGATGCTGAGTGTGGCACAGAGCGGCTGCTCTGCACGGGCAGTCTGTTTTTAAGAAGCTGCTTTGCTTCATATTTAAGCTAATGTACAAAACAACCTGTCAGACAGTTAATAGAAATCACCCACAGTTAACCCTGGACCCTAAATCTCTCAGTGTATTTTCTGTGCTGAGAAAAACGATAGAAGTGATATGAAAACTAAAAGTTTGATGAATGGATATGTAATGCTTTCTATGCCATTAATTTAAATTTTTCTGTAACTGCTAGATTATTGCAGTTTTCTAGTCTCTTTTAAGGAATTTAAATACACATTTTAAATTAACTCGGAAATCCATCTCTCTCTTTCTGTCCCCTTTCCTGTGAGATGTTGTCAATTCTTGAGAATGCTCTGTCTCAAGTCAGGTCCTGGGTAAACTGCTTTTATAGACCCTGTAAAAGTCCAAAGGCATGTGATTAGAATTATTAAGTGAAACTGACAGTGCTGGATTTTTTTATTAATACCCCCTCCAAGAAAGGATAAAGAGAAAAATGACACTTTTGACTTCTCAGTATAATTATCATTTTTTTACTGTGAAATAATGCAATAAAGATATGTAAGAGAACACCTAAAAAGTAAGCTTCAGCTGCAACCCTTATTTCTGAAGAAGAATATGCTTTTATTTTATTGAGCTGATTTTTGTAAAAACTGGAATATATAGCACTACGTGTTCCTGTTACTTGCTGTGATAAAGTTGTACTATCAACCCTAGCCAACTGGCTAAACTAATCAAACTAGCTAAATTCATCAAAAGCTCTTTGCCATCTAAATGGAGAACAATTTTTGTTACACAGTATGCTTTCAAGTAGATCAGGGAAAGACCATAACAAAGTGTACTTCCTTGAAACCAGCAGATCCCTTCAGCAGAGCAGCACACTATTTCTGTGCCCATTTCTCTAATTGGTAACCTTTGGGGCACTTTGCAAACTACTGCTATGGGAGCCTAGGTCCAGGAGAGGGCACTGTCTAACTTCTAAACATTAAAAAAAATAAAACCAACCTCAAAGTAAATTCCTAGTGTATTAGCTCTAATTAAAAGCATCAGCCTGCTAAGAACCTGCTAGTTATAATTAGCAAATAGCGAATGTTTGTGGTTAGTCAAATGTCATCTTGTATGGGCAGTTTAAATTACACTTGCACCGTTAGTCATACAAGACAGCATACACTGATATGTCACCAGTTCTAGCCTTTGATTTGACAGATTCGTTAGTGAAAGACAATCATTTTTGTTGGAACCAATGATAATTATCATACATCTTCTACAACATGTTTTTAGAAGAATCCTCAAAGATGTACTAGGGAAAGGAAGTGGTTGAGAGCCATGATCAGCATCTGGTAATATGGAGGGCCAAGAGAGTGGAATTGTTAAGTGTACTTAACAATGGAGGGCTTTCTTTCACCATACAATGTAAAACATTTATAAACCTAATGCACAGACAATACCTACGCACTTATAGTTATGCCATTTATTTGTAATGTTAACACTTCAAAATTAAATTATAAAAGGCCAAGGCAGACGCAATCAAAATTTCTCACACCATTCTTTCCACTTGCGTTAGAGAAAAAGTACTGACAAAATATCAGTCTTCCAAGTGGAGAGACGTAAAAGCTGTTAAATTCCTAGTGTGATGGATAGGTGGCAATTCTCACAAAGTCAGCGACCCACTTGTTTTGCCAATGTCATCTGCCAAGCCCAGGAGGCAGGGAGGTAGAAGCTGCTCGTATTTTCAGAGAAGTGTCATGTCCTAAGACAGTT